CCGTGGCAGGCTGCTCCGCGGCCGTCCGTCTGCAGCATCGTGCCTGCCACAGCCCGCACTCACTCTTTTCTTGTCGAAGTGGCATGTTTACAGGATGTGCCTCCACCCAGCCCCCTCCCCCCACCCCCAATCTTCTTGCAGATAGATGTGGTGGAGGTTAACCTCCAGTCAAGTGCACAGTACCTCGCTTCCTCCATAGCTTGAGCAAAGTCTCACGAGAGTGATGCAGGGGAAATGTGACTGATCAAAGGCCACAGTGTGACAACTGGCCCTCCTTCAAGTGTGACACATGCTAATATAAAAATAGGAATTCAGCAGTTCGATCCAAGGGTGGGGGTGGGGGCGCTCTTCTTTCTTTCTCATACGTATTTGATGCTAAGTGATTTCATGAAATTATTAAATCAAAATAATCCCGTATTATACAATGGTATCTTGACTTGACGCTTTGTGAGCCAACATTTGAGTTCTGAATGAGCTTCAGGTATGTGAGCTAAGTGGGAACAAAACAGGACAGCCACAATCAGTGCTGCACTTTTTAGTAAAAAGCTACAGCAAGCAAGTCACAATATAGGCCACGCCTCTTAAAGGCACACATACACATCTTGGCTTGTCCCAACATACAATAATTACCTGTACATGTTGTAAAACCAGTATGTTGCTTTGCATTCTATTTGATCGTGTTTTATAATTCTATTTTACCGGTTCGGGTTCAAAGCATCATGTCATCAACTCGTTGTTTTGCCGGTTATCCCGGCATACGCACAAAGTCCGCAAACCTGTTATTCCGGGTTGAGTCATGTGACGTGCCGCAAATAACGGATGAATGGCATTTGAATTTGTTTCAAAATGTTCATACAAATATGAAATTGTGATTAAAAGTTGATATTGTAGTTTTACTGGTTTGTACTTTCACTCTTATGGCTAAAATGAAGAAGAGCCTGAGAGAAAAGCATTCTTCTGGCTGCAGGCGTGTTCTTACCAGCCTGGTTTATCAACCAAGGAGAGTTTCACCTCCAGACTGACCTCTGAACCTGCCATCCAGTCGAGAAGACATGAGCTGGCAGCCATTGCCAATGTCAGCGCCCACAGCTAGCTCCTTCTTTCTCACCGCCTGACTCATTATTTGGCTTTGTGGCGCTTTCTCCTTGCCACCTCCAATCACATGGCTGTGAATGACACTTAGAGGAGGAAAAGATGCCCCCCCCCAATCACCTGGTCTGCTTCTCCGAACCTGCATAGCAACTGGAGTTTTATATGAAAAAAAAAGCTTCTATCTTTCAAAACAAACAATGTTTGTCAGTGAGCTAATTCAAAAGGTGCTTCGATGTTTTTTTTTTTGTTGTTGTCACATTTCCATACAATCGATGTTATGTTTGACTTTTTCTTTGGCTAAACAGTCCAACGTTTTCCCATTATAAAGTAATGCATTCATCATTTTCCCTTTTGCTAAGTGCAAGCATGAGCGCCGAGCGAATAAGAAACAACCATATCCAGTCGAGAAGACATGAGCTGGCAGCCATTGCCAATGTCAGCGCCCACAGCTAGCTCCTTCTTTCTCACCGCCTGACTCATTATTTGGCTTTGTGGCGCTTTCTCCTTGCCACCTCCAATCACATGGCTGTGAATGACACTTAGAGGAGGAAAAGATGCCCCCCCCCAATCACCTGGTCTGCTTCTCCGAACCTGCATAGCAACTGGAGTTTTATATGAAAAAAAAAGCTTCTATCTTTCAAAACAAACAATGTTTGTCAGTGAGCTAATTCAAAAGGTGCTTCGATGTTTTTTTTTTTTGTTGTTGTCACATTTCCATACAATCGATGTTATGTTTGACTTTTTCTTTGGCTAAACAGTCCAACGTTTTCCCATTATAAAGTAATGCATTCATCATTTTCCCTTTTGCTAAGTGCAAGCATGAGCGCCGAGCGAATAAGAAACAACCATTGTTGACGAAAAGCACGCAGTGGTTAACAACATTTTACAAAGTGCCACTTACTCCCTCCAATGCTGCCGTCTTCGTCAGAGTAAAATTGAGAACGTGCAGATACATGCTACCGAAAATATAAAGAATTTGAGCTGCATGTGACCAGAGCTGTTTTACGATTGCAGGTTGCCTATTGCCGGGTATGGCAGCTGTTGTGCCACAATATGGAATTTGTTGTTCGCTTGTCATCAGCACTTCACATCACAAGATATGGCGGCGTCTTAGCAAATCAGAGAAGAAGGGGTTTCCCAGCATGCTGTGCTGTCGTTACAGTTATCGCGTTTGTGTTATCAGGGCTCCAAAATGTGTTACTTTGTACGGGGATAATCGTTGAAGTGGTGTCTAGTTGTGTACGGTTAAGTAATTACCACTTTAGTGGTGGTGAATCTGGCACCTTGAGTGAAAATGAAATTAATGACACGCCGGTCTCTCTTGCAGCGTTAGGGAAGCACATTTGTGCTTATGTGAATTACAAAGTAATTGCCACTGACAATAGCGCACACGTCTTTTGTTCCTAATCTTTTATGCTTGCTGTGCTGTGCTGACCGGCGTCACGCTATTTATCGAGTGGTTCCACGGACCGGATGTAATTGCATGCTGGGCTGTAAGTGACAATTTACATCCAAACATTTGAGTCCAAAATCAGATGTGGTGAAGAAGAAAAGCCGATCATCTTTCCAATGAGATGTAATGTGTGAAGTTGACAAAACAAGGTTGTCATTTCCTGCATTTGCACCAATAATGGTTTTTACAGCCGTCCCAATGTATGCGATGCTGACAACGTGACACATTGGCACGTGAACGTATGAGTGAGTGACTGTGTTCACCATTTGTAATTTCAACAGTTGGAAAGAACAGAAGGCTTTTGGCAAAGAGCGGTGGGGCAATGCTCGAAGGTCCATCACAGACCGCTGGACCCTTCGGTGATTCCCTTCCCACTTTCTGCTCATTGGAGATGCTATCAGTTATCCGTTCCTCCGCGTCTGTCTTTCGGAGGCTCAGGGCTTTATTTGTTTTCCCCCTCGTTACACTTCAACTTGTTTCCCCTCAAATGTGTCTGAAAAATTGTTATCTCCGGCCTTTTTCAGCCAGTTATCGAATCATGTCAACTCGCTGTCCCCCGGGTTTGCGACGCAAGCTGTAGAAAAATTAGATGTAGCTTTCACATGACAAGTGGGGATCTCGTCCTGCAAAGCGCGGTGGGCCGACGTGGGGGGAGGGAACCACCGTTCGCTCGTTTACATCCGGCAACCGAGGCAGCGGGGGCGATGTTGCGGATAGAAGGAACCGGCGTGAGGAAACGAAGCGGCTCGTTGGAAAGCCTGACAACGGAAGAGGCAACAAAGAGTTATACTTTGCCCATGTTCACCCAGGGGGCATCCAAGCCTGACTCACATTGGTCCAACCGGTCCATGGATTGCTGATGTGCGATTGCATGCTTGAAGCTTCTCCTATATAAAAAGTACACCGATGCATTGGGCTTCCTCCATCCATCCATTTTGTTCAGGGTCACGAGAACCCTTGAAGACGGTCTGACCGTAAAGCGGCGGCGGGGTGCACACTGGATTGGATTCACACCCACATTAATACCCCCGGGTGATATTTTTGTCAGTTAAGTGAACATACGTATTGAGGAACGGCAGACAAAAAGCTTACGACATTGGGGAGAACTTTGACACGTTTCGGTTTCATTCATGTGAGTTTCTAGAAGCTCCCTTGCATTCTATTCCTGTTGCTTCCCGTGAATTTACATGGAAAAGTTCCAAAATTTTAAATCCCGACACACTTTGCAACCCGACCCAGACCTAACGACAACAAAGGACTGAAAACACAAATTAGGAATAAGCACAGTAATTTCAGCGAGAGATTTGTAAAGTTTATCCCTTTCATGCATCAATAATGATAACCTGTAACCTGATAATATGATAGGCTGTCCACTGTCGTAACCGCTGTCCCAGGAAAAGGGTCAATTGACATCGTGAGATTTTCTTAAAACAACCACAGCTGCATAAAAAGTGCTGTACGTCAAAATCAAGACGTATAAAAACAAAGACGGTTACAATAATGAATGAATAACGTAAATCAGCGAATTCAACAAAACACTAAAACACTGCGGTCTCATGCTGGGTGTAAAGCCAAAGAATAAAAATGTGTTTTTAACTCATCTTGTCAGCAGTCGTGCTCATTTTATCCTAAGTACATTATTATTGTGTTCCTTTAATATATATGTATATTTTTTATAGAGGTGTCAAATTATTGCGTTAATTGTGATTAATTAATTACATTTGTTTTTTTTTTATATTACAATATTTTGTAATTCTTTGGAGATTTACAAAAACAAACAAAACAGTGATATTCCCCCTCGTGGTCGAAACTAAAGGTTGCAGGTAGGACTTTGACTAGTTTCAAATACAGCAGAAAGTAAATGGCTCGGACTGCATCTGTCCAAGTCTGCTGAAAAACAATAAAATACTTTATAATGTCACTTTTTCTTTTATCTTTTGAGCTGCGTCAATAATGTAATGAATTGAAAATGAAAATAGGGGTTTTCTCAGTAATTTTTAGATGAGATTAAAATATAGATTAATTAGATCAATTAATTACATACCGTAATTTCACAATTTTTTTACTCGCTTGACAGCACTATTTTTTTTATAGTCTATAGAGGACAGGTATTTAACTTGTGAATATTGAAGCACCAAATGTAATGGGTCAGTCACCCTGCTGACCTTGAAAGGCACCAGAGTGTTGAGACTGCAGGCTGTTTGCTGCACCACCAGCAGTGCAACTAAAATGCTAATGATGTCTTTATTTGGGCTTGTTTTAAAGTCACTGGTCACAATTTGTTTCATTTGCACAAGTACGGTGATCCATGATACGTACGGGACCGTGTCAACAAAGACCAATGGCCCCTTTGAATTGACACTGGAGGAAATGTTTTATATAAGATTGTGGTATACACTGCGTGATGCTCTTCTCCCCTTGCGGTATTATATTTGTATTTGCTTTGTCTTTGCAGGTATCTCCGTAGCAAAGAAGACACATACATGTAAGTACACTGATGTTTTCTGTTATTTCCTAGACCATATTTCTATGGAGCAGAAGTTACAAATGGTGGACAAAAGGGAAAACATTGGTTGAATGTGATCCCACCAAATGAATATCATGTTGACTTTCTTGTTCCCGCGCACAATACAACAAAGAGGAAATGAAAAATGCTGTCATATGACTGCTTGCTAATCATGCACCGTCGTCGCAGCCTCCGTGCCGAGGCGCCTCTTTGTTTTCTTGCAAAGAGGCCTTGCAGCCCAGCAAGCGGATGAGGTGTCTTGTTGCGGTTGCTAACTTTCGGCGAGTGAGAGCTGGATCTGGCCAAGTCAATCACATGAGTAAAAATGAAAGATGTAAATGAATGAAAACCAATGAATACAAGAGCTGGATCGAAGAAAACACCGTTACAGGGCTCGTAAATATTATTGTGGTTGTAGTTTGCAGTGGGGCAAAACTGCACCGCGGCATACTGAGACTCTCACATAGCCAAACAGAGTGACCCAAACTATTACAAACCAACTCACACAGTACACTACTGACAAACTGCACCCACAATAACAATCAAATAATGGCATAAAACCTCTTCGTCAGCGTCCATCGAAGCTGATTGTTTTTTTTTTTGTTTTTTTTTGTTTTGTTTTTTTTTACATGGCGCCAGTTGTAATGGAGCCTTTCCATCTCAAACCACAGCTGCCTTTTCAATCTCAGACTTCTCATGAAGAATGGATGAACAGTCCCACCTGTAGAAATCCGTATTTTCCAAGAGATTTGCCGGCTGTTTTGACATGGGTGAAGTGCAATTGGAAGAGGCATCTTTAAATGTTTTTGTGTGTGTGTGTGTGTGTGTGTGTGTGTGTGTGTGTGTGTGTGTGTGTGTGTGTGTGTGTGTGTGTGTGTGTGTGTGTGTGTGTTTGTGCGCTCACATCTCGAATTTGGAAATGGCAGAAAGTGCGCGTGACGGCTATCCATTTACTCTGATCACTGATGAAACTGGTGGTGAGGGGAAGCCAGGGGGCTTTTCCGTAAGACCGGTCCGAATGTTTCAGATTGTGAGAGATTGTGAGCGACTGCTTCTCGCCCTGTAAAAAAAAAAAAAACTCCACGGCTCCTTCTTACATCAGACAGAAGGGCAAAGAATTTGATCTTCTACACTTTGAGCTTACTCAAACAGCTCCGTGCAAAAAAAAACAAAAAAAAAACGGTGTCTGTTAAGCTATTTGCTTGTCTTGAGGTACTGTATTTTTCTTTTTTTAAAAAATGTGTTGATGTTTGAAGGTGAAACGGAAATCTCTTGACCCACCTTTCACCACCACCACACTATCCTATCTTAATTAGTGTAGCGCGAGGCACCTCCACGCCGGAAGGAGTCTCAAATCAAAGAGCATGATTTAGGAGTCTTGGGTTCAAAGCCCTGGGCAGGAACTGGACGATTCTGTCTCATTTCACTGGGAAATATTCAAATCTTGTCCATGGGAGGAAATCAAAGTCAAAGGCCCTTAAAAACGAGTTGACTGGTGTGCCTCGTAGTTAGGAAGCAGCTCGTCAGAAGTGTGTCCACAAGACGGAGTTGAAGGGCCAGTTAGTGGTCAAAATGTGGGGAATAGAACAAGGTGATTATATGACTTGTGGAATGAAAAAAAAAAAAAAACGATCATGGTGCAGTAAGAATAATGAGGTGCAAACGCCCTCCTTACATGGTCGTAATCCTTCTTGGCAGTGATCAAGGCACTGCGTGTGTAACGTATGCACATATGTGTTTATAAGGTCTTCCAGGTCCAAGGTGGCCCACAGGGATGGATTGGGGTCTTTGCTTATCCCCCCCCACTCGGCCCTTCTGAGTGATCAAACTGCTGGAAGCTTCCCTCCATGCCAGTCCCCTCATCAATATAAATTACAAGGGCATCTGTTCGCTAGCAGGCTCCAATCGCTCGCTCTCCTCCACTTCCTTTTTCCACCCACCCGAGTGGACTCATCATCGGGCTATCATAAGATGCGGTATTCCAAACGAAAACAGATACGCGTGCGACTGCGGCATCCTCTCCTTTGCGGGGCCTTGTTTGATTGACCTAGCTCGATTTTCAATCCGACGCATTATACTCTCTGATGCGTACCGTCGTTTTCGGACGATGAGGCACACTTTCTTCAAAACTGCCAGTGCGCCTCATTGTATTCGTTGTGGTTGCGCTTACTGACCTTGAACCGATGTTATGTGGTGCACGGCGCTCATATATGTTTCAAAATGACTTTTGCAATGAAGGGTGAAGTCAGGATGTCGGGTTTTCAGTTTACAGTTACTTTTTTTTTTAGGTCACATTCAAAATGTAAAAGTTTTGAAAAAATTAATCTTGGTCTCATTTCTTTACATTACAAAAAGATAGCATTTGAACAGGGCATTTGTGTCATTTGTTTCTTTGTTTTTTTTAATTTATTTATTTATTTCAAACTCCACTGTATGCGCTTCCACCTCCCCCCCAGGCAGGAGCATGCTTCGGCGGGGCTGAGTTTGGACCTGTTAAGAGAAACGTTATGCTGCAGCAGATCAGATGCTGGGATTGGACGTCTCACTCCTAATCTCGCATCAAATGCGTGATCTACAGCCACATGGTGGCTCGCGCACACCCAGAGGTCACGTAGCCAGGATGCTTTTCCTCGAACCGAACAGATCTGCCCGATTACCGACGCGGATGCAAAATTCTGCTTGAATTGCTGTTTCTTTTTTACAGCTTGCATCATAGTAGATTTCGAACTTTCCCAATCCATCGGTGGTAGAAATAACCCATTTAATAAATTCTAATGATATAGAGCAACATTAAAAAACATCACAGCTTCATCCCAAATTACCATACAGCTGAATTTGCGGGTAGAAATAACCCATTTAATAAATTCTAATGATATTACAATCCAGCAGAGCAACATTAAAAAACGTCACAGCTGCATCCCAAATTACCATACAGCTGAATTTGCATCATTCTAATACAAGGAGGGGTGGAAATAAAGCCTCGCCATGACAATTACACTCATTTTTTTTTTTTAGATGATATGCGGTAGGTAGACCAAGAGCTACCTCGAGAATGAGCCTAAGCATTTGTTTCAGGTGGTCATTTCAATGTATGGTTACTGTAGTTTGCGCTGACTTCGAACTTCACTGCATTACATTTCTGATAGAAGGGAATCACAATATTGAAAACGCTTTCACTATCATGCGGGACACTTTGCCACGACTGCAAACTACAAAAACAAAAATACACATTGCTGCTGCGTTATGGTGGTGAGTTCAAATCACGCTTCAGCCACGCAACAAGTTCTCTGAGCTGTTTGTGTCCCTAAGGCCAATTTATTAGGGAGTGTCACATTTGGACTAAACTGCGGGGTTGTGGTCTTGCACGCAAAACATCCGGTCAGCTCGTATCCATTATTCAAAAGAAGCTTTTTGCATTTGAAGTAACTCTGATGCTAGTTTTTACCATGGAAAATGTGAGAGGGCACTTCAAGTGAAAACCCAAGTTAGAAAAAGGACGGAATTGGAAGTGTAAGTGGATGATGAAAACAAAATATCACTGGGTTAGCAAAAATGAAGAGGCCAGTAATCCTTTGATTATTTTGGGGAATCCAGCGGAAACGTGAAAGCAATGCTTGTTTTATTTAACTTCTCCCGTGTGTGTGTGTGTGTGTGTGTGTGTGTGTGTGTGTGTGTGTGTGTGTGTGTGTGTGTGTCATTTATTTGCCCCGCAACCCGTATCGAGTTTCTTTTGCCAGAAACGTGCGCCCTCACAGAAATAGTCCCACCAATCTCTTTTGATGGGTCCTCATGATTTACCCTCATGTTGCACTGCCCAGTTTGCGATCCGTCAGTCGCTCTGGACTTTTTGTCGGTTGCGTTTTCAATGACATGAAACTGGCCGACTTCCAGATCACGTTTTTAACTGAAGTTGGTGAAATCACTCTCATCCGAAGAGACGTCAGGAGGATTTAGCAGGAATGTAGAGGAAAAACAGTAGAAAACAGTTGTGCGCCTTCTGTATCTTTTTTTTTTTTTTTTTTTTGTGGCCCGCTAAAGCAAAACCACGTGTTTTTACTTCATCTTTCTTGCCCCAAAAATGTCAATGTTTTATTTTGGAAACAAATCTCTCCTGAATCTGTTAATCTTTGTTCACCGATTCCAAATATTACAAGCATTGTTTTCACCAAATCCCTTCTTAACATGAATTGAAAAACAGTTATATCCTTAAATATTCGGTTGTTGTTATTTTCCATCAGTTTTTTTTTTTTTTGTCACCCGCTAAAGCAAAACCAAGTGTTTTTACTTCATCTTCTTGCCCCAAAAATGTCAATGTTTTGGCAACAAATCTCTCCTGAATCTGTTAATCTTTGTTCACCTATTCCAAATATTTCAAGCATTGTTTTCACCAAATCCCTTCTTAACGTGAATTGAAAAACAGTTATATCCTTAAATATTTGGTTGTCGTTATTTTCCATCAGTTGTTCGAAGTAAATGTAACAAAAATACGTGCGCGAAAACAACCGTGTGCTGATCTTATTTTACATTACCACAATGATAACGGCCCCTAAGGGAAAGCGGAACCATCGTGATGAAAATGAGTTTGACACCCCTCGTGATATATTTTGGTAAGGTCTCATTACTCGTGACTGACCTTGATGATAAGAATTTTTGTTGGACTTTTAGGGCGTTCGACTTTGGAGATTCCCCAAGTGGTTTGTGGAGTATGAACTCAAAATAAATCCGACATTCACATGATGATTGCCTCGGTAGACAGAATCGTAATTCACCCGAAATGAAGCCGCTCATCCTGCTTGGATTTGGTTCCACTGTGTGGGTCTGTTTTTGTTTTGTTTGTTTTTTTTTGTTTTTTTTTGCTTGATCAAACATGAAATTTATCCTCCTTAATAGCGCTGTACATTGCCAATTTAGGAGAATATGTCCCAGTGGCCGGCTAATTTCTGCTTGGCAACAAGGCGTACTCCTGTGGAATGGCCCAG